TTTTGGTTTTTGGCTACTGCTTTTTTTTCTTTTTCTCTTTTTGAGTGATGAGTCTTATTACGTTGTCTAGGCTGGGCTGCAAATTCTGGATACAAGCTATCCTCCCACCTTAGCCTCCTGAGTATGCAGGACAAGTGTGTCCCATGGTGCCCAGAGGCTTGTTTTGAGGATAGACACATTGTGAGCAGTGCTGGATCACCTGGCCTGTGACACTGTGATTAAGTTGGGAATGAGAGTCATACCACAATCATGTCTGCTCATGCTGAAAAGTGACAATCTCTTTAGTCTTTGATAAGACTATTTTCATAAACAAATAGGGAAATGTAACTTATTACTTCCTTTCCTTAGTCTGTATCTCTTGCTAACCAAATCAAGTATTCTACCTTGTTGTATGTGTGCACATGCATGTACCTACAGAAGTAAAACAGAGAATTAACTCTCCAGTGCAGGTAGTGTATTTAATTTACCTGGGTGTCTCAGGATGTTCTCAGAGGCAGGCAGGCACTACTGCTGTGGCCCTGCACAAACCTGGCCTGTTCCCTGGCTCTTCTTAGCACACACTCTGCTGCTGTTGAAAGACTCTTTGGGAAGATGCCAATAATCTCTATTTTATGTCCTAATTACACAACCACTTATCCTTTTGGCAACTTGAAGAAAACAAAAGTTTAAAGGGTAAAATATTTAACCACAATGTACCTTAGAAGAAAACAGCAAAGCAGAGAAATCAAAACCTTAGGTAGCCTTGCAAACAAAGCAGGAAACCTTCATAAGTCAGCAGCATTTCTGGGAACGAGCAATCTACCCTTGTGGCAAGATACACATGAAATAAAAGTGATGAAAATCATTACTTTGCTAGTTCTACTGCCAAGAACCTGAGAGACTGAAAGCAGAATGAGGTTCAGGCCTGTTCTGACAAAGGCCAGGCCTCCTCAGAAGAGGCCTCAAGGGAGATAAAAAAGCTTCTGGAAGAAAAAGGAAAGAATCTTGGGAGCATTAAAAATGTTACTTGCAAGAATCAATGTCCAGGAGTTTTAAACTTTTCTTAGCGTTAAGAATTACTATGTCCCTGTGGCCCAGCTTATCAATAATTCCTTCAAGTCAAACAGATCCCCAAGTTTTACCTAAGCACATGTACTACTTATCCATCAAAAGCTAGCAAGCGCACCAAGTGAATTAGCCCCTGCCCAGTTGATGAGAGCACTTCTTACAGTCTGGTCACCTGTTCCTACATTCCCTCGAGATGGCCAGAGATTTGGAGGGCTGCGCCACCTCAGCTCTGCCACGCATGTCTACCCCAACCCCATCTGCCAATCATGACTCTGGTTCCTTTACTGCACTCTCCATTGTTAAGGGTGGCTATTCTGTTGGCTCTCAAATAAATCCTTCTCATTTTCATTACTTACATAGGATCTCAAAGAACACCAAGCCATCTTTCACATCCTTTTCCTTCATTATTTTTTATGCAATACCAAATAACTGATTAGCTCATATAAGAGGCCACTGGGTAACACCTGGAAACTTTTGTTTTATTGTCATGATGTTTCCAAACTTTTAAAAAAATGAAAAATTTTAATAGCTCATTCTACTACAGAAAAAAAATTGTCAGGTTCTTTACACAAATTTATGTAATAAAATAATCAATGAAGATTGAAAAATAAGACCAAGGTGAAATTAGGTCCATTAAGACAAAACTAAGAGGGAGGGTAGGACTTAAAGCTTGTGTTGTGAGTTCCACTCAGGTACCACTTTTATCAGTGCTTGGAAAGTTCTGGTCCACTGGTTCAACATGGTCCAGTCTGCTTCTGTGAATAAAGTTTTATTGGAATGCAGCACTTCATTTACATGTTATGTATGGCTACTTCATGTTACAATGGCAGAGTTGAGTAGCTACAACAGAGACCATCTGGCCCACAAAGCCTAAAATTTTTACTAGCTGGCTCTTTTCAGAACAGCATGCAAATAGATTATGTGAGTCTCTGCCTAGGAGCTAAAAGCAAACTCATTTCCTAGGCTAAGTATAGACTGTACAACTCTGAAGCAGAAAAGCACTTTCTACTATAAAGAGCAAGTGCCCTGACCTCCTGAGCCATCTCCCCAGCCTCCCAACTTCTTTTGAAGCAAAAAAAAAGAAAAAAAGAAAAAAAAAAACCAATCAAATAAAAATAAAATGTTTTGCCAACTCTTCCAAGGCTTACGATAAACTCTGACTCAAATACTTTGGAGAAAAGGTCTCATCAGTAGAATGGGCCCACAGGGAATATAAACCAGAGAGTTCGAGCTACAGGAAGGCCCAGGTATCAGAAATGAATGGTGGCTAGAGCAGGAAAGAAGCCCACCAAGTACATATTCCCATGAAACTTGTCTCCCCCAAATGCAATATAAACACAGCCATGGCTTTCATGGGGCCAGTGGCACAATGACGTCAACAAAGTCAGTAAGGATGAACAACTCCTCAGTTCAGGTACCATTCACACCTGGCCTGGCTTAATCCAAGGGCAGTCTCTAGAGACGGGAATGCTAGGTCCAGGTGTAGTCTTTCCCTGACCTCCTTCCTCAGCCCTGGCCAACATGGCTAATGATCCAGGTGCTCTCATCTACTGAGACCTAAGTGTCCTCAGAAGCCTCCAGGTCTCTAGTAGCCTTAGTCAATCAGCACTTGGAATGGGAGATAAAAGGAGAGGTCATCTTTGCTGTAAGGCAAGTTCCCCTGAATTCTGTTGACTGGGGTGGTGAGATGGGTTGTATGGTCTGCCATCTTCCTGCAGCTTTATTCTGTCTATATGCAGTCATCATCTTCAGAGGCAGTCCATAAGGAAAGTCTAGATTGCCAGCCCCTATGACAACTAGAACCTAGAAAAGCCAGCTGCCTATGTCAGGAAAGAGGAGTTACCTCAAGAAAAGTACGGAGAATCTGATCCACTACACAGATCAGCGGTGGGTCAGGGCCACAAGGACACCACAGACACTGTCTGGACATACTCAAGCCCAATGCCTATAATGTCTCTTCAAAGAAACAAAACTCCCAAACACTATCACCTAGACCCACTGCCTTGTCACATGTCTCAAAAGAACTCTCCAAGTGACAAGTGCTCCAAAATAAAGGCAAACACTAATAATGGTAACTTGTAAAAAACACCATTCAGTTCACTCTTGGAAGATGATGATGAAATCACAGGCTTTGGATTTGGGAGAATATCCTTGTGGCCTTTTTCTGTGCCCATTCCTTCCTTGTGGCTGAAACACTATGTCTGAACTAATTATATTTCCAGTGGAACAAAAATTTGGGTTACAGGCTGGAGAGATGGCTCAGTGGTTAAAAGCACTGACTGCTCTTGCAGCAGACCCTGGTTCGATTCTCAGCACCCACATGGTGGCTAACAACCATCTGTAACTCCAGTTCCAGGGGATATGATACCTTCTTCTTGCCTCTGGGGGCCCCGCATAAAATGACAAGGGGGCCCTTACAAAAATTGAGGCAAAACATTCATAAAAAAAAAAAAAAAAAAAAAAAAATCAGGTTATCTAAAGAAGTCTTTAGTATGCAAATTTAGGAGAATTAGAACTATTTTATTTTATTGCTCTGGGAATTACTAATCTAGGCCTGACTCCTGCCTACATTATCAAAAGAAATGGAAAGTCAAAACATATAATTGCTGTCCAAAGTAAAACATCTACACCTTAAACCCTCTTTCTTTTGTGGGTATGTGGTTATATCTTCTAGAGAATCAACCACAAGTAAGTAAAACCCAATCGCATTTGACAGCAGAGATATACATGTGACAAGCATGGCAGATCATAGAATGCTTTCTTCATCCTTTCTCATAGGAGCAAACACTTATTGTTCTAGTACTAATGCTGATTATTCAAATCCAGACCACTTACAGTCATATCTGAGAACAAGTGAATGTGAAAATTTGAACTCTGTATGGCCTTAAGGCAGAATAAAAAAAGAAAAAAAAATTCCAAGGAGTCCATGATAACACCAAATCCAGTCTGCACAGTGATGGCTCTTTGGTATTCTCTGCTGGAACCAAGGACTAGGATACCCAAAGACACACTGGATTCAGAAGTGAACAGAATGCCAATTCAGAAAACTTCAGAGGAACGTGGCAGTCCTCCATAACTCCAAACCATTATATAGACTTCCATGTCCCTTAATGGGCATTGAACCCAACCTGGAGGTAAGGATTAAGGGAATGGCAGATAACATTGCAACAAAAGTTTTTTCACAACCACAAGGGCTTCAAAATATGTGTTTCCCAAATTCTGCCATCCCAAACATCCAGCATGCACAGTTCCTGCCCAGAACCTCTCAGGTAGCAACACTGCTTGGGCTGAGTTTTGCAGGACTTGTCACAGCAGTTCCTACTTACGTAATGCATATAAGGTGAGAAAGATTCCAGCCAGGCAGAATCCTTCAAAGAACCTGAGTGTGCTGAACATGGTCACATTCACTGACAGTGCCACAGTCAGTCCAAAGATCAGAATGAAGATGATGGAAAACAACAGCACAGGCCGCCGGCCAACCCTGTGTGTGAAGAAGGAAAAAGTCAGAGATCAACGTTAAACAAGGTAGAGATGCTAGATGTTGAAACCCAGTATCCAGTGAGCACTTGATATATGTGGCTGAGTATGGGCTAAGTGCCTTCATAGTATCTAGACCCCTTCACAAGATCATGGACTCCCTCAGGACAGAGGCCTCTTGGGGGGCATTAGGTCTAATCCCCTATTCTGGAGCAGCACTCAAATAGCTTCTGGGAGAGAGAATTAAGATATGACCCTGATGGCTGCTTCAAATCTATCTCTGTGAATAAACAGGGATGACTCAAGGCAAGATAATAAAAATCAATAATAACTCCCCAAATACAAACCTTGACACACCCAGCATAAAATGAGAAACTGCTGACCTTTGGAACTGGCCCAAAAGTCAACATGGGCATGGAGGAAGGCTTTACTTCCTTTCCCCAGTTGGTACCTAGAGGAGGTTCCGCATTTTACACACAGCCTATAGTGGGTTAGGCCAGCTGCAATCTGCTTCAGCAACATGACAGTATATAATTCTAAAGGGACCACACACCAAGCCTAGACACCTTGCGATGGTAAACTAGTGCCCTGGTCCCTTACACTGGAGCCAACAAGAAAGGGCAATGGGTACAACGAATTCACACAAGAGCTGGATGATGCAGGGTCAGTGATCACTAAGGGATGGTATGCTGGGGGGTGGGAATCAGAGGGCAAATGAGGTGGTCCATGGGAATAGAAAAAAATCGCTAGTCCCCCAGCCAGTACCTAATGCAAATCATCCATTTTCTCTTCCTGAACTCATTACAAATAAAACTATGGCAATAGCTCTTCATCAAACAAATTAATATTTAACACACTGACTTGGCCTACAAGGATAGTTCACAGAGAAACTGGGGCAGAGTAGATGTTATTTGCCAGGGAAAAGGGGAGAAAGAAATGCAAGCCTGGTGGCCTAAACACCACATAAAGTAACTAAATGGCTTCAACTGTCCTTTACATTTACAACAAGGCATCGCTGTACCAGTAAAAGCCTAGAAAAGGCAAATGTGGCTGCCCAGGGTGGGGGTGGGAATAGAGAATGCATGTGAGAACATTTCACAGTCCCTACAAGGGCGATGGAAATGGTTTCAACCTGGTAAACATGTTCAAACTCATTTGTGAACTTTAAAGGGGTAAGTTTTATATATGTACTTTATCTCTAAAGCTCTTTAAAAAAAAAAGTAGAGAGTAGAGCCTTGCCCTACAGTCTCCTATAATTTCAAATTATATAATATACAACATAAAATAATATAAAAATAAAATATATATAATAAACTAGAAATATAATATTTTAAAAGATAAAAATATAGCATAAATATAGTATTTACATCATAATATAAATAAACATAAAATAATATAATTTTAAGAAAACATGGGGCAGGCACAACAGGCCGACATTGCCTTCAGAACTTTCAAAGGCTCACTCAGCTCCATTAGTGACTTTGTTTTGGAGATATGTGGCCAAGGCTGTGAACTCAATAATAATGTAAGTCAATGAAAAAAAAAAAGTATCTAGGAACGTCAGACCTTTCTCCCATGTTTGTCTGGGGTCATAAAGCTCTTACCAGGAAAGACCTTACTAGATGCTTTTGTTCACATCTAACTCATTACATTTATAACATGGATTACTTGTTCTCCTAAAATGAAAGAAAACATAAAAAAAAAAAAAAAGGCAGATGTTAGATTTTTGTGTCTTTTTGAGACAGGGTCTCCTTGTAGCCCCAGCTGCCCTGGAACTCACTATGTAGACCAGGCTGTCCTTGAACTCACAGAGATCCGCCTGCCTCTGCCTCCTGAGTGCTGGGATTAAAGGCATGCACCACCACGCCTGGCTAACATCTACTTTTAATTCCCTGTATCTACCTCAGCTGTGAAATGGGGAGCTGGGCTCTGTCTTTCCGAGTTGGGGAGATTCTTTATAGAGGGACATGATGGGCCTGGCATGAAACCCCAGGCTAAGTGTCTCAGCTTCATCCTTCCTACACTTTATGTAGCTATTTGAAATAGCTTCTTTCTATGCAGCCCAGTATAGCTAGCCTACAACTCTGTGTAGCTCAGATTGGCTTCAAATGAGCAATCCTGCCTCCAACCTCTTCAAGTACTGGTAAATGTCACTATACCCCACTTTCTTTCTGTATGTCTATATCCCTGATACATAAACATGATTTTCCCTGTTTGAGGTTTTTATTTTTAGAAAAGATGCTTGATTTTTTTTTCAATCTTGCAAAAACCATTCTAAGTACCTCCCTCCCAAATGGTTACTTAAATCAGTAAATCACACCAATCAATCAATGAGGGCTGTGGGGCACACAGGGTCTCTGAAGTCAGAGCACCCTGGTTTTGAATCCAGGCTCATATCACTTCTGAGCTATGTGATCTTGGAAAGTTCAAACTTTTTCCAGTGGGCCTCCTAATGTCCATGGGGATGGTGTCAAGTGTGGAAATGTGCTAGTGACTTAGTCAGTGTTCACCATATGCTAGTTACAAGCCTTGTATGGGCTGGCCCCCCTGGAATCAGGCATGATTGATAGGAGAGGCCCCATAGGATCTATGATAGGTAACCCTTCAAAGATGTTCCTGTCTGAATTCTCTTGCCTGAATTCTTAGAAGCTGTGATTTCAAAAAACCTTTCTGGGCAAGAACTCCTCTGCAAATGGGACTAAAGCTATGGTCTTGAATGAGACGATTTTCCAAGAGGGTCAGACCTAATTACAAAGATGGAACCCAAGAGTGGATAGCATGAGAAAACTTGACTTTCTGTAGCTGGCTGCAAAGATGGAGGAAGGGGACATGAACTTAGAATGCATGGTCTCTAGGATCCAGCAAAGATGGAGGAAGGGGACATGAACTTAGAACACATGGTCTCCAGGATCCAGCAAAGATGGAGGAAGGGGACATGAACTTAGAACACATGGTCTCCAGGATCCAGCAAAGATGGAGGAAGGGGACATGAACTTAGAACACATGGTCTCCAGGATCCAGCAAAGATGGAGGAAGGGGACATGAACTTAGAACACATGGTCTCTAGGATCTAGAAAAGACAAGGAAGTAACTGTTGCCACAAACTTGCAGAAAGAGCTCTGCCCTGCTGACACCCTGGTTTCATCCAGTGAGACCCATGTCGGGCTTGTGAACCAAAGAACTGTAAGACAGTTAATTTGTGCTGTAGTCACCGAGCCCATAAGAGGTAGTGACAGCAGTCATAGGGAACTGAAACAGGGTCTCAAGGAAACAGACATCCCACTCCAGTGTAGTGACTGGTGATTGAAGTAAAAGGACTCTATAAAAGAGAGAGCAAAGAATCTGCAAGGACAAAGCTCTACATTACAGATTCTGTCAACAGGGACTCCATGACAGATAGTCATGGACATCAGAGAGAAAGACACTGCATGGAAGGGACCTGACTGGGACCCTTTGCAGCCTTGTAGAGACCAGTGCCTGAGCTGTCCCCTCTCCCGTGAATCTTCAGCTTGTGTTTCTCTAGTTACACTATCACTTAGCCTATGACTGCTATTATAAATGCAGGCAATTCCTCTATAGAGCCCCATCCTGCATCTCTCCCATACAGTTGAACTTACATGCTAGTAACTCCTAATCCAAAATCTGGATTGAAAATGTAGCTAGTCTTGTCTTTTCTTTTTAAAAAATTTATTGCATTTATTCATTGTGTGTACAAGTGTGAGGGAGTGTATGCCACAGCATGCCTATGGAGGTTAGAGGGCAATTTGCAGGAGCTGGTTCTCTCCATCCACCATATATGGGTCCTAGGGAATGAACTCATGTAGTCAGGGTTGGTGGTAATTGCTTTTATCCACTGAGTCATCTTGCCAGCCCTTTGCTTTAAAAAATATTTTCTTTTTAAAAATAGTTTTTGTGTATATTAATGTGTGGGTATGTGGGGTATATGCATATGTGTGCAGGACAGAGGAGTGTATCAGGTATCCTGCTCTATCACTCTCCGCTTTATTTCTTTACAACAAAGTTGTAAATAGTCTAGCAGCCAGAAAATCCCAGCAATCCTCCTGTCTCTTGTTCCTGACAGCTCTGAGTTATAGGTATGTGTGGCCATGCCCAGCTTTTTACATGAGAGCTAGGAATTCGAACTCAGGTCCTCATGCTTGGGTAGCAAGTATTCTTACCCACTGAGCCATCTCCTCAGCTCCAAAAATGTAACTATTTAAGGAAAGCAGTCTATCATATCAATGTCTATATTTGCTGACTGCAATCTTAGAAAGCCTACCCTATGACTTGATCAGCTTCCTGCTGTAAGATCTGGAGTTCCTTTAAATGGGGTTATTTCCCTATTAAGGCAAGGCTTAAACAGAGAATAAAATGAGGGGGGAAAAGTGGGGGAGGTATGAAAAACACTAAACCTCCAAACTTTTCAGAAGACCATTCAAACTATCCCAGAGCCAGGTGCACTGACTCAGTGAGGCACACCTATTCAACTCATCCAACCTGATCCCTCAGAGAGCCACCACAGAGAAGTGGGTTTGCAGCATCAGACTCTGGTCACTCAGAACAAGACCTGAACTCTTTAGTCTTTTGCACAGGCCTGGTATGTGACTGACTGGGGAGACCACTGAGTATTATATACACAAGACAAACACTTGACACAGCTTACATCTTCATACACAGAGCCTTTAACAGAAGCCCATATTTAGTGTTCTATTAAATCGCTTGTAGAATCAGGACACCACGGGCTCCATTAAGTATACATTTTTTTTTTTTTATATATAAAGGAGGGGACATGAGTTAGATCACTGTATATTTCTAATTTCTGTCGATGAAGTTTCCTGGGAAGTAGTATCTGTTAGACCAGTAAAGCTCATGCTGAAAACCTAGGAACCCAAGCATTTGGTTAAGTAAAAACTTCCCCGTCCTCAAAGACTAGAAAAAGCTCCCAGGGCAGGTCTGCAGAGGTCACTAACAGTTGTACTGCTGAACACAAGGAATGTGTCCATAGGAAGCCCTAGAAATGGTGACTTGGCAGATTCCAGACTCACACTGTATGTTAACACGAATAGACACTAGACTGAGGAAGGAAATTTCCACAAATATGAAGTGGCCCCAGAACTCTCTGCTAATGTCCCCATTGCCCTGGCTCTTTTCCTGGTCAGCTATATCAGCTAACCAGGATGCAGAGGGGGGTACCAGGAAGACATAAACAGTCTGTCACATAGCATTCTT